AAAAACGTACGTAAAGTTTTTAAAGCCACTTTCATACTTTCATATATAGATAATCATAAATGTATGTATGTGTTTATGACAATCGCACAGGCCCAGCGACCTAGTTTGTGCATAAATATTAATACAAAATGGAAAAAAAAAATAATAATAAAAATAATCAAAAACGGAAAAAAGTGAAAAACTTATTGGAACAACGAACCATAACGTACTTTTGATTTTCTTTTTTTCTTTTTTTTTTTGTTAATGCTACAGTTAGTTGTGCCGAAAGCATTTTATACAACTTTAAGTACAGAGAACTTTCGGTTTCACATAAATATTGAGTTATGATAACGCAATTTCATTTCAACATCCTTCAAGAGCAACATGTTCGCATAATAAAAAAATGTATTTAACTTACTTAGGCATTGTACGATACATTACAATAAAAGCAAAGAACGGAAGGAGATGAATGAGCACAAAAACATAAACAGTTTACCTGTTGGAAGTACACTTTGGAGTTTCGAAAAAGTACTCTTTATCTCGTAAGTGATTGAACCACAGACGCAAGAAATGGAGAAACGCAATTGCGGAGAAACGAGCCATAATAGTAACGCGCATGCTCTGGAAGAAGCAACAGTGTCAACCGAATACTTTTGCTTGTATATATTTATGTGCAAAAATTTTGACAGGTGAGTTTTATATATAGCATATATATATATGTACGAAATGTATAGAATATATATATGCATGTATATATTAAAAATTTAAGCATTAATTATTAATAATAACGTAATATAACCCCATTGACAAAATTAGTATTAAAAAGCAAAATGAAATCGAAGTAAATTTTCTGAATACCTTGTTTATAATGTAATATAATTCTTTAGATGCAATACCCAGGTAAAAGTGGATCGCATCTTTTTCGGCTGTAAAAAAAAGTGTCCAATGTTTTGTTTACCTTTTACAAATGGTTTTCAATCAATTCTGCAATGGAAGAATAAATTCTTTCACATAATTTCATTCGGCTAAACTGTAATTTTTTCTTATTCTCAATTTGTTTACCATTGTATCGTCCATTAAAGCATTCGTTTGGAAGCGAAAATCATATATGATAAGTATAAATATGCAAACAGAACATGCTCATGCCTGTTAAATAACACAACGTAATGATACCGTAAGCTATTGCTTTAACAACGTTTACGAGAAGCCGAAGTTAGCCGAAAATTAACGTAACGAACCGAACTTAGCCAAGCATATCCGAAGCAAAGCAAAATGAATAGAATATTATTAAGCTAATAACTAATTGGTAAATATCTGATTCCCAACAATAATAAACTCTTTGGCCCCCTCCCCCCTTCTCCTTAACGTCATCTATAAATCAATTAATTAAATTGATGTGGAAATTTCGGATCGCAACTCAATAATCCACAAGTGTAGCCGACTGGATAATAATCGTAAGTGCCAAGTGTGTCCTTCGCAGGTTAAAATCTTTGCGCGATAAAGTTTATTTTGGTCGTAACACTAATGAGTGATCAATCGGTGAAGGCATAACAAACCCTTCTAGCATGCGACCAGCTCCCCATTTCTTTCGTTTTCTCCTTGACTTCTCTCCTACCGTTACCGCATTACACGAATAGCCAACGTCCCCTATTCGTGATTGGTTATATTAAATAATAATAATAATAATAATAATAATAATAATAATAATAATAATAATATTCGGCAGTGGCCGAATCTCGCATATCCATCGCTATGCTTTTCTCATTCTATTCTCCAAGTTATTTTATTTGATACTCATTTCGGTGGTATTATTAAGCAAAAATTAAACCACCAGAACGCGGCATCTACCATATTCATTTTAGAATGAACCCATTTTTAGGCAGATAATATATCTTCATTTGAGGAATTTTGAAAATAGTTTTAAACAATCTGACTTGTTTGCGTTATAAGCAATAAGCATAAAACCTCAAAAAAGTAAAAAAGATTAAATTTAATCACTTTTAACTTTATGTGTGAACTTTTCCATTTTTGTACGTAAAGAGGAGATGTGAACAATTTCAGGCTTTTTCTAACTTGAATAATTTCGAAATAATAAGCAAAAATCCACATTTTTTTTTAAGAAAAATGGAGTTGCATTTAGTTTACGCTCCACTGCGGGCTTCTGGTCTAACCAATTTGGCATATTTTCTACCATATTTAAAGTCGATATCTTCATTTTTGCGATCACAAAAGTGCCAACAACAAATACCACACAAATTGAGAGACGGACAGACATGGCTTGACCAATTCAGAATTTCACACTAATCAAGAATATATATACTTAATAGGGTCTCTGAAACTTCCTTTTGCGTGCTACATACATTGTCAAAGAGAACACAATGAGTATACCCGCATCCTTGAGGACCCATGGTGGGTGTCAAAAGAAAAGAAAACTATAGGTCCTACAAATTAGTTCTTTCTCATCTTTGTAATTAATTTGTATGTAAATAGTTCTCTTGAAAATTGTAAGCAAGGAAAAAAATTGTATTCGACTTTGTACACACCACCGTTCCTACACCAGTTGTAGTACAGGGTGTATTAAATTAGTGCGGACGCACGCAACATCCAGAGAGAGTTAAGATGGATCCACCTTTTACTATACCGATCGATTCCGAATCATAACCTGAATTTATCTTAGCCTGTCTGTCCGTTTGTCCTTCTCATGTCTGTCCATGTAAATTTCTGTTCAAACTACAGGTCGCAATTCTTGAGGTATTTTGATAAAGTTTGGTACAGCGACGTGTTTTGACCTAACAACGAACGCTAATGAAAATGATCCAAATCGGTCAACTTTTTCGACCGCTCGTCCTTTTCTGAAAGACCATTATATGCAAAAAAGTTGAAATTTTTAAAATTTCTCGGCAAAGTGACTAAGTAGTAATATTGCGGCATTCTAAATTGGTATGAAAAGTTGGGACGGTCTGGGGCGATTTTTGAACACCCTCTCATATAACCAAAACTGAAGTTCATACGACGAAAAGATATAATTTTAAATGCATCATGATAAAAATTACAACATAATAGTAGTAATTTAACATAAAATAATTAACTGCACCAAATTTGGAAAGTGGTCAAGCATTTACAAATGTGGATGTGTATGTGCAGATGCGAGGTATATTTGTCAGTTCTGTGCTATTGAAATTGTAAATGGTAGCTTCCACAAAGCCCAGTCCGCGCAGCAAAAAGTTCAGCACTTTTATGTTACCTTAGTAGGTCCTTCAGTTGGTGGGCAGTGGTATAGGTGCGTCCTCTTTAAAGTTGTGAAAAGTAAAGTGTTTTGCAAAACTTGGCATAAAGGTAAAGGGCAAAGATGAAATGTACTTCTTCAGAAGTAAATAAAATATGAATTAATAATAATACTAAATAGGTCGAGTATATCATTATAGCCGAGAAGGAAGATGGCTAGGTCATCAGCTTCGAAATCAGGAAAAAACGTACAAAATTGATTGCTGTATTTCTGAGTCAGTTACATAACTTTGCCACGAGCTCTTTAAGCCCAAAAAAAAAAACTATAGAGAGGCGCCGAGCAGCTAAAAATCCTTCTCCTGCTTCTGATAATCGCATTATAATTTTAGCAAAGCGAGATTCCTTCAAGTCGTCTAGACCAATTTCCAACAAGATTGGGAATGTTGTATCACCCTGAACTTCCCTTGCTCAGGAAAGTTAATTTGGAGAAGAGGAAAAACATTGCTGTAGCCCATAAAAATTGTTGCAAGCCAGAAGACGAAGAAAAGTGGAGAAATATGCGTGGACATGACGGAACAAAAATAAATTTCTCTAGAAATGTTGCGGGAAACAGTGTACTTCGATCAAAAGGCAAAAACTTACACATTAGATTTAGTAAAACACCTATGAAGTATGGCGGAGGAAATATAAATGCTATAGGGCTGTTTTTCATCGTACGATATCGATCTGGAACATCTCAAAGAAAAGACTATGGAGAGATTTACATACAGAAACTTTTTAGAAACTGCAATGCTGCTGTATGTCACTGCTGGGCAAATTTTAAAGATAATGATCCAAAACCTTGATTCAATTTAGTGCAAGCATGGATCCATATCTTGGATGTCATTGAATAGTCAGGTCCCTCTGTCGGCCTAAATCCTGTAAAGAATGCATGAGAAGGACTAAAGCGTTATGTTTCTTGTAGCAATAGAAAAGAACTGTGGAAAAATATTCGAAAAACTGTGAAAGAGTATTCCAATAGAGATCAGCGATAGTTAATTGCATCTATATCAACAAAAATCGAGGCTGCCCGAATGAAAACGCTAGGGAATTGATTTCTATAAAAGTAATTACTTTTTTTGAGTACAATAATTTGCGTTCTTTTTAAGTTTTCATATATGCACCTATATTATTGTCTTCCTGGTAAAATACGATACTTTTGAAATGAAGTTCTTTCAAGTTTTTGTTTATACTTAACATGATTCCAAAAACATTTTAAACAAAACAGAGTTGTTCTAAGTTTACATGGTACTGTAGAATCTAATGAGACGAACCTGAGGAATATTGGAAAGACAATATCAATGAATGATATATATGAACAAAAGCTGCCTATTTATGTGAGGAGCTTATAAGGCATTGCAGCATTGCAGCATTGCAGCATTTAATAAAGCGAAAGAGAAGCACTCGAATTCGAAGGCATCTTCCTACATATGTCACGCTAAATTTAATAAAAACGGAAGGCAAGGCTGATTAACATAGAAAACAACAACAAAACAGGAGAAGTAGTCCTTCTAATATAGAGAGAACTAGATAGTAAACATTAAGTAAGTAATTATTTAGTCCCGTCTGACTTCATACCAGTTCGACATTGTCTCATTCAAATAATATTTTCTTCATCTAGTAAATCATTCTCTTTGCTGGCTGGATGGTTATCAAGCAATCAATTCTCATTAAAGTAAAGGAGTTGACGCATAACAAATATTAGATCTCCCTCCCCGTAAACTTTTATTTCTAGAATGCCTTTAAAATCAATAAGGTTCAAATGATAAAATGTTTATTAAAATATAATAAAAATAACAATATCAGAGAACGCCTGCTGTGAATGAGAGTACATGAAAGACGATCCAAGGAAGGTAAATAAAGGAAAATGATGGCAATGACATTTATTGCATAGTTCTAAATTAGTTGAATTGAAATTTCAGTAAAACGCTCAAATTTATACTGAAAATTGTTTGAAAAGATTTAAAGCTGAAGGGAATTACTGCCGAACTTGTTAGGGCAATAGGCTGTTTAAGATTAACTACAGGATCTAGGTTATGGGTGTTGTCTACGGTTGAGTAGTAATTCGACCATATAGCAAATGTTAACAAATCCATTTGCGGCCTCGATAGATTCAAAGTTATACGTTTTGTTTTAGAACTGAAAGTAAACATTTTTGGTAAATATTTCAAAAATATATTCAACACTGATTCACTTGGGATTATTCAAATTACCTCTCCACATCCTGCCACGTAAAGTCGACGTTTGGCTTTAGCGGCATAATATTGGCGTTAAGAGTACTAGGCATGATTAGACTACGTTTGGCTTTAATAAAATCTCCGCTGATTTGCAATTTGCTGAAATAATATTTATTACCAACCGCTACGCTTTCAGGGAAGATGTAGCCACAAGTGTATAAATCAGAACCAGTGCAAGCTATCACAGCACAAAGACTTTGATTACTGCTGCTCACACGCTGAAACGTGGTCTCGGTGCCGCTGTACGCAGCTAAACGAAACCGGTAGGCTTGATGACTAGGAGAGTCGCCAATTTTTTGACGCTCTATTTGAAAATTGCAACAAAAACTTCTATGGCACAATATCTCATTGACTGTAGTGAAGTTATCCTCTAACAGCTTTGTAGTAAATACATCAACATTATAGTCTCTTTGCAGATCTAATTTAGTAAAGCGTGGGGTTACAAGCTGAGGCATGAATACAGGTTCAATTGTTGTAGGCATTTGATAGCTCGAACGATGTTCAGATTTAGGCACTTTGGCAAGCAGCAATTTTGTTGTAGGTTCTTGGAATATCGCAGCGGATAAACGGCCCAAACGTCCAGCATAAATGCCTGAACCCGTATTTTGTTGCGACGGATAACTGGCATCGGCCGCCAACAGGTTCACGTCATTAGCGAAAGCCCAACCTTCTTGATTTTGTACAGCTTTTGAAGAGAAAATTAAATTTTTTATTAAAACTTTAAAGTTTAAAAAAATCAATAAATAAATAAATAATAATAATAATCAGAACTGCACCACGCACTGGGCCTCTCTCTCTCTACATACCCGTTAGAAATGGTAGCTCGGAAAACCAATGCGTAGGATATATAATATCAGTTACATTTTTTTCCTTAACCAATTGCTCAGCCGGTTCGTAGTATAACATATCGAAACATATAAAATGACCGAAAGTCACGCCAAAGTCCGTAGTAAATGTAGCCAATTTAGGCTTCTCCAAAATATCGGTGCTATACCATTCATAGCGAAATAAATGGGATTTACGATAACGCGATATAACGCGACCTTGACGATCCAACACAACATTAGTGTTGAAAGTGTTGAAACCACTTGGATGACATTTCCTTTGATTTGCAAAGGGTAAACAAAATTCCTTTTCCAACATATTTACGACAAGATACAATTGGCGACTGCGAGCCGCACATGAAAGCTCCGTTAAAAACCAATCATAATTAGTTACCTCGCAGGGGACAATGCCCTCGTTTGGATCTGGTATGTAGGTTTTCATATCCATATTGTTTAGAACATATTCAGGAAATACTAAAATGTCCAAGTCCTTTGTCGCTTCCGATTCAATAATCGCTTTAATACGTTTCAAGTTGTCAATGACCAAATCTTTCGGCAGACCCACTCTCGCGGGAACAAACTCAACAACACCTGCATTATAAGTAGGATCACTAGGTAGAGATACCTGTGAGATAAAGTTGCATGTTAAATGATGTGACAATAAAGTAAGGATCAGTCGTTTATATGCTTTACCTCCTGGCTACGGCCGATGCATAGAATTAATACAAATCCTAATAGAATTTTTACTCCTTCTGCTTTCAGAGCCATAATGACTATGAGTGCTATTTCATCTTTTAAACTAAATTTATAATGCATTCATATTCATGTAAAAGCAAATCATCATCAAACTAGCGAACAGCATCTACATGTATCTGTTATCTAAATGAATTTATTATTAGTTTGAATTATTGCGCCTTAATACCACCACTTGAGTTATCTACCTTGGCAAATGTTAAACATTTACCGTTTTGTATAAATAACTTGCATTAAAACTTGGAAGACTAGTAATAATAAATGTACGAATTTATTTTAAATATCTATATAGCACAAGATTTATTCACATCATTTCAGCCTCGAGACTAACTGATTAAAAGAATAATTAATATCAAGGAAAAACTTCGTGGCGTTCTTTTGAATGGTAGTAACTTAACCTAAATAGTGGGGTCATACGAAAAAATAGCAAACGAGGATGAATGAAATTGCAAAAAATGGTGAAGAAGCTAATATTGACACCATGTAAGAAAAGGCATGGCCAACCAATTAATTGTCATCGCGACGCTTCGACGTAAGATTACGCCCGCAAATTGATGGATGATCCCTTTCATCTTTCATCCAAATAATAACATGTTTAATTACAATCTTGGCAAATGTTATTACAGACACTATGGCCCGCATCTTGCTGCATCCGACTACCACTTCCTTAGGTCTCTACATAATTTCCTCTATGATGTGAAAAAGAGTATAAAAAAGTCTCTAAAAACAACACTACTTAGCATTTGATCTAGAAATCTGAGAATTTTTTAGTGACAAAATAAAGTTTTTACTAGAAAAATTGCATAAAGTTGTCGTTCGAAGTGTCGTACATTTGATTTAATCAAGTTCAATTTGTTTAAATATTGGTGAAAACAAGCCACAAGATTTTTCCTTGCGTAACATACAGGCCTAGAAAATGTCTATGCTAACTTTCAGATTAATACTATATACATTATATAGCCCATAATTCCTAAATTATTAAAAAATCGATTTCGCGTTGTTCTTTTTTCGAAATTATTTCACGTAATTCCTTATCAATGTAGACCTTTGATGTTCACATTTTAGGTTGATTTGTAGAAGTTAGTCGTAAGTACACAAAATACCAATAGTTTTGCAAAATCTGACTGAAAAGAAATAGTCCGACGGAGGCAGGTAGTTAAATTGGCACGCACTATTGTGATTTTTTTGTAAAAAGAAGAAGAAAAGTTATAATAAAAAAAGTATAACTTTGAGTTACTTGAGGCCACTATTTTTCTCATCTTTCATACAAAATATAAGCTACATGCGAGATGAACAACTAAGCTGTCTGATGTTTGGCTATCCATAAAAGGACTGATATTTGGAATGGAAACACCATTCGAACAAACAATACGTCATCTTTTGAAACCCATGTTAATCGGAAGTAGTAATGTCTGCTGATAATAGCGGCAATGAAAGGGAAGGAAGCAACATTCCAAGTTAGAACTGCAAACTGCGGAGCTTATTGAATAACGAAAATCCACGATATCATGGCGCATTCACTTCTAAGGATTTAGTAGCCTTATCGCTTTGAATTAAGCGCGCAAAGTAAAGGTGGAAAGCTTTTCGTATGGCACAAAGCTACATCTATTCAGAACTCGAAGAAACTATGGTATGTGCACTTTAATGTGATGCCTTATACAGTTGCGTATAGGTTAACGAACGTAAATGTCACGCCCTCGCTTATATTCTTTATTAGAAAAGAGCGGAAGTCACAATATATCTAAAAATTAAATAACACGAACAGGAAGTTAGTGATAAACAAATGACTAGGAGAGCTACATTCTCATGTTGGGATTAAAATTTTTCATAGATATGATAGTAAAACCCACGATAATTATCCTAACCTGAGCGCCCACATAATCAGATTTTATCCATTTTCAAGCGTGATCTGCCTGCATTGCTCATGAACATGCATATGAAGAGACTTCTATATATATATTTGTATATTTATATTATATACGAATTAAGGAAAAGCGTTAGAAACGGTTTAGTATTATTTCCGGTTTAATGATTGCTTACTTCCCTGCTGTTGCAGGCAACAGTTATGAGTTAAATGTGTTACTGAAGATTACCTTTGCCCTATGTGTGTATTTAGCGAACTTGAGGACGTAAAATATACTAAACAGTTAATAAAATTTTGTTTATGTGAATATACACATGTAAAAAATACTAAATTTTGATAACGGAAATATCTAATATTTATGCCTACAATTTTCAACTCGATACACTTCTAATGAAATTTCTTAACTTTCGGGAAAAAAAATAGCAATTAATAATCAGAGCAAATTTTAAAAATGAAAATATTTTAACACAAAAATAAATAAATAAGATTACAAATCTTTTTGGTCATACATATGAAACAATACGTTTTTGTGCTTATGTTTCTAATCAGCACTTCAAATAATTTTTTAAGAAAAAAATAGAATCTACGAGAAAAACGAGAAGAATCCTTTTGACAGGCAAAACAAAAACAAAAAACGTAATTGTTTGTACAACGTAGCTGATACAAGAAGCGCATTAATCTTAATTCCTACAGATGCCTACAGATTGCCCTAGTTTCCATTCTTAAAAAAATTTTGAAGAAAGTGTTATACGCACATCTAGAATGGGTCTCGAATCCAAACATATCTCCAGCAATCTTCAATTTGGTTTTAGACGTTGCAGATCTGCCCAAGACAGCATTGTCACTTTCTGTTCAGCAATAAATTCAGCGTTTGCTAAGAACCAGATTCTTACTGCCTGCTTTCTGCACATAACCTTAGCATTTGATTCTGTCAATGTCAACATTTTAAAGTCTATCCTTCTCTCTTTGAATCTTCCTCTTGTGTAACCTCTTTCTCTATAAGAAAATGGCAATTACCAATGATGCTGTTGTTGTACAAAGGCGTCTTTTTCAAGTGTTCGTCAGGATCTACATTGAGTCCTCTTTGTTTTAATTTATATATTAAAAAAATTTTCAGTTCCCTTCCTGAAAACATCTCAGTCCTGGGCTATGCTAACAACTTTGTCATTTTTAGTTCCAACTCTGATCCAGATTTGCCTAAGCGCAATTTGCAATCTGCCCTCCACAACTCTGGCAACTCTGTCGCGCGGTATAATCGTCTATATTTTGTTTCGGCAATTAATATTTTAATTTTTTTGTTGAATTAAGTGCCTATTCTGCCTTATAGTGTGTGAATTTATAATATACTTTGAGAAGAAAGTGAGTGAATTCAAAGTAAAAGAAATATTTTTTCTTTACGCTTTGATTCAATGGATTTTTGCAAACAAAAATTTTGAGCTCTGATATAAATCTCTCTTTTTTTTGTTTTCTCTCTTTTTCTCCGGTATTCTCGGCCGTGCTGCTGACGCAGTCGCTGACCCGTCTAAAGGCTTAAGATGGTCATGTCCTGACTGTAGGCAGCGGGACATTGATTTTTATAAACTTTTCACGGAGACGCGTTATCGTTTCTCGGAACTGAGTAGAAATCTAGGCTCCTTGTGGGAAAAGTTTGAGCTCATTAAGTCTAGGTTTGATGAGTGTCGTTTTATTGGACACTCATCTTCTACTCGTAGCGTAGCGTGTGGGATGTCACCTCTTGGTTTCTCCATATCTGATTCGTTGGTACAAGTTACCGCTCCCTCTAACTCTAAAATGAACAGTAATGTTTCCGATATTACTGAGTCGGTTGGTAGCAAAATAGTTACAAACAAACCGGCAGGTCCGTCGGTTTTAAGCTACGCTGAAGTGGCAAGGGTATCTCCGCCCAGAGCCGCCACTCACTCTAATCAATCTCCTCTTTTAAAATATTAGTTCCGACTGAAAACAGTGATATGTTGTTAAACAAATCACTGTGTCCAGTAGGATCCTTAATTAAGGAATTTATCCCTCGAGATCGTCCCCGTAATACCAAGGCAATAGTCGCCTTCAAAAAACTAATTGTTTCTTCAGGCCCACTATCTCTCATTTATCAAAATGTTAGGGGCCTAAATTCGAAAATTCGTTCCAATTTTCTAAATTCAGTGTGCACGGAGTTTTTCTGTTTGACCTTTACTGAAACTTGGCTAAAACCCGATCTTCATTCATCGGAACTTTTTCATAATTCTTTCCAAGTCTTTAGATATGATCAAGGGAATCGCATTGGTGGTGGTGTATTAATTGCCATATCTGCGTCAGTCCCGTCCAATTTAATTGAATTTTCCACTTCTCCTGACGTTGAATTTATCGCTATTCGTGCGAATATGCCTGATAAACGTCTATTTTATAACCTACTCCTATATTCCCCCAAATTCTGATATCTCCATTTACAAGAAACACGCTGCCCTCATTTGTAAAGTGGCCAAGCGGTCTAGACCCACCGATTTGGTCGTTGCATTGGGTGACTTCAACTTGCCTCAAGTCACTTGGTGTAACACTGATAATTCTGGCTGTTTAGTTCCTACTTGAACGTCTGATAGGGCTGTTGTGTTCTTTAGTGAATTGTTTGATCATAATTTGGGTCAATATAATCATACCCCTAATTGTAATGGTAGACTGCTTGATTACTGCTTTGCCAATTTTCCCGAGATTAACGTAAATCGTTGTCCACCTTTTAGTTTACCTGAGGATCCTTATCATCCATCAATATGCATTTCCTTTCATCATATGAATGATGGTTTGTTGAAATGCCTTAATGTGCCAAATCAAACTTTTTTAAATAATTATTATGATTTTCATAAAATCAATATTGTATTGCTAAAACATCGTCTTTCACATTTGACGCTTGATTTCTCAACCGGTAGTATTGAAACCTTATTGTCATCGTTCTACAATACATTAAATCTAGCTATTGCTACATCTATTCCGATCAAGCAGTGTCGACCTCGAAGCAGGTGTCCCCCGTGGTTTAATAAGACAACTAA